ACTATTCAATTCCATTCTCTGGAGACTTAATGAAGACTTAATGGACACTTTGGTAGTACAGTGTCATCAAGTTACTGACCCACTGCTGCTTTGTGTGGCTCCATAACCCAGGATCATGATGCATCTGAGTTTGACTGCAAGCGCCTTGGGAGTCTATTTTTATTCATTAGGCAGTGTCTCAGGGGGCCACCGGCTTCTCTTTGACTGGTCAGTGAGGTGTTCATAAGGGGTCGTTACTCAAGCTGAGAAAAGCTCATTACTGTAAGTGGTGGCAAGAGTGTGTGTCTGAGCTGGGAGGCCTTTTGGGATGGCACGGTGCATCTCACAGGAGTAGCCCACATAAGTTATGTTCCTGGTCTCCACAATCCTGTTTTCAGGTGGCACGTACAGGCAGTGGAACACTCGTTATTACGTTGTTTTGAGTCTAATGCAATAGTGTACAATGGGAATACACAGGGGCCACACACAGACAGCCTGTTAGATCCTCAGCAAGTGAAGTATTGATAGTGGATGGTGCTGAAGTCAAGTTCTATGGTGCCTTCAAACACAATGAGGTCCGAGTTGGTTACTAGGTATCATTTTAAATCAGCTACTAATGACTTCCCCAGAGCTGGAAAAATGGGAAGGAAGAAAATAAAGCTTCCTCCTATCTTCACAACCTCCTTTTTACTCACCAGAGTACAGAGCTCAATGATTGGTGACTGAGTACCTGATATGAAGCAGCTATTGGAGAGGCTTACACATACAGCAAACACCTTATCACAATGTTTACCGTGGTTCAGAGGCTCTTTCTAAAAGTTGGATGAAGCTACGGCTTACATCAGCAGAGCACTCTAAAACATTATCAAAGAAACTGTAATCTGGTTTTCACCCAGGAATCATTCCTGTCTCATGCAAGATGAATTGCACCATGGTAACCCTCTGTGTATTTGCAGGTAAAGAAAAAATCGAAAGGTAATAATTTTCTCGTAGAAAATTTCAGAGCTTGAAACTAAACGATCCATAACAGAAAATGACACCCCTGCTTTGCTCCTGGTTTTTTGTATTTGAATCTGTGCAGTATACCCGAATCATTGGGTAATTTTATGTTTGCCCTGAGCAGAAAACTTGTTAAAACCCAATTTGTGAAACTTCTTCTAACATTTCTTGAAAATATGTTATAAAACTTTCATTTTGTTTAAGAAAACTTGACAAATCAAGCTTGTGGTCATCAAGATTGTATCTAATAGCAAAAAAATCCATGTAAACTCTGGGTGTAATGTAGATATAATGACTTGTCTTTCATTTCTGCAGATGAATATATCACCTTGCACCATTTCATGCTGAAACAAGAGCTTATGGCTACTTTGTTTTCCTACATAAATTATTGATAGACTTCAGATTTAACTCCCAAAAATTAGCTTACCTTTAATAATTTTAGTTAACTTATAAACACTTTGCCGTAATGTCTTTGGTGTGTTCTTACTGTGTTTAGTTTCTAATTCCATTTTTGGTTCTTTTTAAAACACAGGAAAGGTTTATTTTATTTTATTTTTTTTTACCTTGCTAACATTTCGTTTGATGACTGCAAAACATCCTCAGAGCTGACGCTGATGGTGGCGTCATTTCCTACGTTTATCCGCGGGTAGCAGAGGACGTTGTCACCCTCTGCTGTCCGCTCTCCGATGATGCAGTCCCATTTACGATCCAAAGAGTAAACCCCATCGTCCCTGTTCATGGTCCCTCATCCACGTCTCCTTATCTCGAATGCTTCCTTTATCCATCTTTTGTATTTCTGTTGTTCGGTGTTTATGATCCTTGTGTTGTCCCAGTCCATTACATGGTTTTCTCTTGAGCAGTGATCTGTTACGGCTGACTTCTTTATTGTGCTTTCTGCTTCTTCTTTTGCTGCTCTTGTGTGTTTTCGACTTGCCTCTTTCTCGCACTCCTTTCTATGTTCTATTGTTCGTGTGTTGAGTTGGCGTCCGGTTTCTCCTATGTATGTTTTATTGCAGTTTGCATGGGATTTCGTAAACGACTCCACATTTAAGTCCAGCTGGTATCTTGTCTTTTGGGTGTACTAATCTGTTTCTAACTGTTGTGTATGGTTTTGTTGGTGTGTTTATGTTGTATTTTTTCATTGTTGCTCTTGTTTTTTCTGTTATGCCTTTGATGTATGGTAGGGTTATCACTGGTTTTGGTTCTTGTCTTTCTGGGTTTCTGGTTCTTTGCTTAGGTTGTTCTTTTCTTTCTGTTGTTTGTTGTTTTGCTTCATTCATCGACCATGTCTGGTATCTGCAGGTCTTTTTAGTAAGTCACATGTTCTATCCCTAATGTCACTAGATTTATGAACCCATTTAAACTGGTCTCCCTGCCATTTCAACTATCTTCAATACAAGTTTATTTATAAAGCGCCAAGTGAGGACAAGAGACATCTCAAAGCACTTAACAAAGTAAACATTCCAATATAGTTCCGTTCATTAAGCCAATCAGAAAAAAGTTTCCTATATAAGGAGTCACTGACTAGTGTCAGTGACAGCAATCCTCTTACTAAGCAAACATTTGGCGACCGTGGAGAGGAAAATTCCCTTTTAACAGGAAAAACCCTACAGAGGATCCTGGCTCAGTATAAGCAGCCCTCCACCTCAACTCACTGGGGATCGAGAAGACAGAACAGACACACACACGCACGCACACACACCTACAGAACATATATACCAAGTAATGTGTCTATAGTTACATTGTGATTTCTTAGTAAATATTCATTTGGTGAGAGATGAACTTTATTGTATTTATCCTAGTGAATCTATAATTAAACAGGTAAACTAGTAGTAGCACATCCAATGTCAAGGAAAGTCAAATGTTATTATCAGGAGAGGGAGAATGTTTAAGTGGTTAGCAGCAGTGTTCAAGCCGATGGCCCCCTCCATGAGGCCACCACAGCTCAGCAGAACATCATCGCAGCTTCTTCTGGGGAGAAAAACACTTTGAGAAAAAAATAAAGTCAACAGCTGAAATTGCAGGAAATAATACAGTTTAAGAGCAGATTGTAGAAGAAAGTAGTCGAGTGTGAAAAGTGGTCCGTGTATCCTCCAGCAGTCTAAGCCTATAGCAGCATAACTACAGAGATAACTCTGGATAAACTAGCCTTTTAGATGGAGGCATGTTGGAGGCAGGGCAAGGGAGAGCCGTCTTTACCGACTGTACACTCCACCTCCCTCTACTCCCCCACTTATCCAGATTTAGGCTAACGTCAGATTTTAACCATAGGCCCTATCAAATAAAAATGTTTTAAGCCGAGTCTTAAAAGTAGACAAGTTGTCTGCCTCACGGACTAAAGCTGATCAGAACTCTCTAGAACTTGTTTTGATCCTTTGAGTGTAGTTTTTGAGTTAGAAAATACAGAAATTGTTATACTAATCTAAAGACCAAATTCTGTGGCTAAGATGCTAGGAAGAACATTGGCACAAATGTCACATGTCGCAGTGACCCAACCTTATCCAATACCTCTCATCAGAGAGTACGTACCAGATTAATGGGATTCCAATTGCAATCGTACATCTTCCTGTAATTTATGGTCTTCAACAGTTGCAGTCCAGTGATTTAATGGCTTTTTCTATACATAAGTTAACAGCTTACATGAACAGATGGAGAAGAGAAAATATCCTTCTTCTCACAACACTTTTTTTTTCTTTTTTCCTTTTTTTAAGTTTCTCAACATATTAGAATTGGTCTGTTTAAAAGATAAAAGAATAAACGGCTCATCAGAGTTGTCAGACTTTATGTGCTGCATCACAAGTCCCAGTCTAACATAAGTGGTGACAGGTGCACACTTACTAGAAATGTGAGACATGTTGCGTATTGACAAGTCTCTTTTACGTTGTCTTTCGTCTCCCTACCAATTAGAGATGCAGATCTGACAGGTTACTCAGCCCTGGTAAGTCTGTCTCCCTCAGGATACACTCTGTTGCACTTTAGCTTGGAGTTTGCACTCGGCACCAACATTGGTCACAATGTTGTCGCTGCCCTGCTTCTCCACGCAACAAGAAGTTTTCTCTGCCTTGGTTCTCTAAGCCTTATGCTAAGAGGCTGACGTTGGCAGCTCAACAAAGAACATCAATCTACCACGTACCCATCCAAACACCCGTCACCTATTAAATCACTACAAGTGCATTCAACACGTTGGCGATCTCATTCCTTTTTTTTTGTTTTGTTTTGTTTTCATGGGTGGGGGAGAAGTTTACTATCCTCAGTAATCCAAATAGTTGTGTCCACCACGCTTTACTCTTTCAGATTGGTTGTGTTAATCCTCAGAGCTTAAATAGATTCTGCTGCTGGCTTCTTTGACTGCTTTTGCATGTGTTGTCTGGATTAAGATGAGCAGACAGACAAGTCCTCAGTGACTGAGTCAGAGAAAAGTGAATGTGAAGGTTTGTTTTGGCTGGCTTTGTGAAATACCCTCAGAGCTGCTCTGAAATAGCCAGTGGCCATTTACCAGAGATCTGAACAGAGTAGGATAGACAAGGATGGCTGCTACGTTTATCAACAATTAAGGACTTCCTGTCACCTGTTAATAACAGGTTTCTGTCAACACCATAGACTTGGGACTCCTCCAGGAGACCTGATAGTAACAGGCGCAAAATAATTAGTGGAAAATCTCCAAGTTTCTTTTCTGATCAAACTGTTTTCGATCCATATCATGAATGAAGTTGTTTAAGAATTAGCACAGCTAAGTTGAGTCAAGTTGTGAAGAAAACTCTTGCAGACAGTTCGTTTTATGTCACTAATTCATGTGTAACATTATGGCCACTGGGCTCCAAGTCATTGTATAGAACTTTTTTTATGTGGGAAGAGAAACAAAGTACTTTAAAATGTAGTACCTGTTCTCATTCAGAACATGAGTGTTTTGTTCAGAGGACTACAGAGCCTCCATGAGCCGCACAGTAACCTGTGACCAGATGTGAGAGGGACTTGGTGCACTTATTAAGCATATTTAATATTCATGTCCTTCACCTCCGCAGGGAGCTGACAAAAACACAAAAGGACCGGACGGCAAAACTCCCTTAGAAGCTGCTGAGAGTGACGCCATCAAAGCTCTGCTTAAGTGAGAGACCACAGTATCGGAGGTGGCTGGACAGGTGGATGAACAGGCATACAGATGGATGCAGTGGTCCCCCGACAGAAGATGGACTCACCCCCTTTGCCCTCATCAACCTCTCTGTCTTAACACTGCGTAGGTCTGTTTGTTGGAGGGTCATTTAGTCTTTCTGGTGATTTTCTGTTGGTTTGTTTTTCTTTTTCTTTTTTCCCCCCAAGTATTTGGGAAAGTATGTTTTCTTCTTTTGACCTCTGCTAGCCAAAGGACACATTAGGTCTCCCTTAGGGACCAAATACTGGGGGAGTCGGTAGAACCTGGTTCCTATAACACTGTTCAGACTAGAAATCAGACTCTAACTTAATCGCAGGTTTGGCGTTTTAAACACACACCTTAAATTTCATCTATTATAAAGTGTTACAAATTTAATCAGTACTAGATTAATAGTGTGTTAATATTTATTAAATTTTAGTACAAGTACTGTAAGGCCGGGGCTCAGTCTCATGAGCTGTAATAGCACTCCGCTGAACTAGATGCATTCACCAATAATGTTTCTTTATACAAACAATCAGGCTTTTTTTAAACAGTTCCTGAAATCCTATTCATCCTTTCAGATGTTGTGTTTATAACGATGAGGTCAGATCCTTCCCTCTCTTTGAACCGTCGGCCTAGCATCACTCATATCAATTAATGACACGTTCTACATTATTCATAGATTTAAGAGCTTGTGTATTCTTTGACCAATCACCATGCTGGTTAACTAGAGAGACTTGAATGTTGCAGTTTTAAAATGTTCAATCTATTTTAAAATATTGCTAGTAGCACATAATAGAACTAGACCTTGTAGAAACGTTTCTTCATCCAGTTTTCTGAGCAACAAAGTATTTTTTTCTGTTGCAGCGTCCTTTTCAGATTAGCTAGTGATTGGCTCAAGGAGCTATGAATTTTGGGTAAACGGGGGTTTGAGTTGATAGTTGATCACGAGGGTTGTTTATCTCTCCTTGCCTTGGATTTTGTTCGAATTCCTGCCTTTTTTGCTGCATGTCGAACTGCCTCTGCTTTTATGCGCTGAAACAGTTACTGTACTCTCAGTTGCTTTTGAATCACTAAGATGTAACGGACAAAAAGATGCTTTCTGAATTTGTTGTGACAAAAGTCTGTAAAAACAATTAAAAACATAAAACGTTTCCTGTCTTGTTATTTTTTCAGATTCCACGTGATTTTGTACTTGGCTCGTTTAACTGATCATTAGTTTAATTTTACATCAGATCCGGCTGCTTAACTTTTCTTGACATTCTAGGTTTTATGTGTTGCCAAGGTACAAGTTCTCACGTCTGCATTAGTGAACTATTACCCATCATCGCCTTGACGAGAGTCAACAAAGCTCATGAGAAGCAGATTATTATTGGATTATGATGTAGTTACCTTAGTTTATAATCTTCAAAGTAGCTGCCTGGACCAGTTAACAACGGCTCTGACCCTAATTATCAGAGTATATGACAGAATCACGTAAATTTAGACTATTAGTGGGAGTTAAAACCGGCTTTATAACTCAGGAAGTCCGTTGAATAACCTCTAAGGAAAACAAAGACAAAAGTTGATTGTAAACCTGCCAATGGATTATCTGTTATAAAAGACTTTGTAATCTGATTTGTCAGAACAGGAACATTCTGCTGCTTGGCTAATTTTACCTTTGTCCCTCTTGCAGCCTTGAGCGATTTCTAATCCATGTTTGTGAACTTTTACAATTCTCGTTCTTTTTTTAAATCCCTTACCAACTCTAATCTTTCATGTCACATCGTTGTTGCCCCAAGCCGTTCTATTGGTTTAGGCTCCCGCAAGATGTGTCTACAAGGGGCAGATGTAGCAGTCATATCAATAGGTAGCATTATTTTATGTGAGCAGCAATTTACTGATTTACGTCATCTTTAATAAAAGACAAACGAACGATCAAACAATCCCTATTTCTAACTGCGATGTCCCTAAAATCTCTAGATATTGTTGTATTGATGCGCTTGATTAACATACAAAATTGATCTTTGAGGTCGTACTGATCGTTGCATTTGCTTTTGTTACTTTAATGCAAACTAAGTCAAACAGCCAAATGTACCTGTCTTAAAATGATTTTTGCATGAACAAATATTTTAAAAATTAGGATTTAATTAAAGGTCTAGCCCTGGGGTGCTCAATCCTGGTCCTGGGGGGCTGGTATCCAGCATGTTTTAGTTGTTTCCCTGCGCTGACACACCTGATTCAGTGGCTGAATCACTGGTTCAGCTGCTCAAGAAGCTCTGCAGAAGGCAGTTAAAGGGATACTAAGCAGTTTTGGCTTGCCTTTAACACCCTCTAGTGTCCATTAGTGAAACCAAATGTGAAACTTACAGTGCTCAGCAAAAATAAGTACACCCCACTACATTTGTCAGAAAAGCTTTAGTTTCCTTTCAGAATGAATATTTTCTGTAAGATACCATACTACTAAATACTCCCACAAATGTGGGCCAGTGATTGCAAAACCATTCGAGCCCATGTTGCAAAAATGAGTATACCCAATTATAGTCCTAGGATAAAAGCCACACTTAAGACTATAAAATTCCAATTAACAGGCCACAGGTGTGTCTAATGGTTCATTTAAGAGGTGTCCAGCAGACAGGTGACTATAAGGGCATTACTAACAAAGAAAAGCCCTTTCTATTTCATGCTGTCAGCAATGGCTCCATATATAAGAGAAATGTAACAAAATTTGTGGACGGACAACATTTATTTGCACAAAAAAGGTGAGGGTTACAGGATCAGCAAAGCTTCACATATGAGTCAAAATACTGTAGCAAAAGTCATCCAAAAATGTAAGAAAGATGGAAGTGCAACCATCCACAGATGTCCAGGCCGTCCATGGAAGTAAGCATCTCGACAGAAGCGTCTTCTGATGAGATGGGTTAAAGAAAATCACCATGCAAGTTCACAGCAGTAAGCTAAAGCTGTAGAAAGCCAAACTGGAGTGACCATTTCCCATGACACCATACAGCGCACACTGCAGAGGAATGGCGTGCATGGGTAACATCCATGAAGGAAGCCTCTCCTAAAGCCCATGCACAAAAAAGCACACCTAGGATTTGCTAGGGCCCATGCTGAAAGAGATGAAGACTGCTGGGACTATATTGACGCTCTTATTGTGTTCTCCTTATGTAAAGTTACGCATAAGTAGGGTGATTGTAGGCAGGATTTAAAAGGACGTGTGTGTACAAGTGCAGGAGGCTGGTGTTACCAGCAGGAGCTGGTCGGTGTGTAATAAAAGGAAGAGAAGTACCACTGCGTTTTTGTCAATTTATTGACAAACAGAATATGGTGTCTGGAGTTGGATCTCCTTACTCAGTGAGTCCAGTTTGGGTGTCGGAGACCAGCACCGATCTTATCATGGAGAGCTTGAGGCAGCCAAAAGGTCTGAAGCTCGTGGGCAACGTGGACAGCAACTGGTGGTGTTTCAAGCAGTGGTTCGCGCTGTAAATGGCAGCCGTAGGAATGGATTCCAAGCCGGATGTCCCAAAGACTGCTTTGCTGTTAACGGTAGCGGGTCCTCAAGCCATCAAAGTCTTCAACATGTTTGAGTTAGACGAGGATTGAGATCACAGCAAGTATGTCAAGGTGAATAACGCTTCGACGCACATTGTTCACCACAGAAGAATTCTCTGTATGTGTACCACTCTCGGATGCACTACCTGGAAGAGAGCTTTGATATCTTTGTGACTGATTTCAAGCTGAAAGCACAGTCTTGTGACTTCGGTGAGTTGAAAAAGTCTATGGCACGTGACCAGATTGTTTATGGGATCACTGATAAACGGACTCGAGAATGTCTGCTGCGTGATGCTAAGCTAACGCTAGAGGAAGCCGAGAGACTCTGTAATGCAAGTGAAGTAGTGCAGCAAATGCTAAAACGTTTGCTGATGCTAAGCTAGCCGACGGAGAGCAGATCACTATGATAACGATGCACCCAAAGAGTAAACTCAGTGACGCTAATCCAGTGTACTCCTGCAAACGCTGTGGTGGCAGGCATCTACCTAAACAGTGTCCTGCCTTCGGAAAGGGGTGTTTAAAATGTAATGGGAAGAATCACTTTGCAAAACAATGTCGATCCAAAGCCAAGTCAAAGGCGGCTGGTTGAAGAAACCAACTGGAGTGACACTTTCTTTGTGGGCGTGTGTTAAGCTCCACACTAGTTTTACTGCAAAGGGACACTTTGGGACAACTCCTTCACTTTCTAACAATCTTTATTATTTCAGTTAAGTGATTATCAGGTTGATAACCATTGGCGTCTTTAGCGTCAACTCATGAGTAGAGCTTGCTGTGCTGTTCCTGTTTGACTGAGGACTGAGACCTCCACCGTCTTTGCCCAGGTGTTTTTCATCAGTGAAAGGCAGCCGTTATGCTCCCAACAAGCACAGATTCCGTAGATGATTCTTCCCCCGCAGCAGTTCACCCTGATGACCAGAGCAAGCCAGTGGATGGCCAAGTCCCCGCTGCTGGTTCGGAGACTGACAGATCAGGAGAAAATCCCACAGGAAGGCCACAGCCAAGGCGTCAAAGGCCAAGACGACCACGACCGGAAGAGCAAAATGGTGATGAAGAGCAAAAAGATGCCATTGCAGAAGGAAACGGGCCTCAACAGCGGCCACCGCGGCGCAGATTCTGGCGTCCGTACCGCAGACCATTCCGCCCTCGCCTGCCTCCTAATCAGTCTGCAGGAGACTGCAGCAAACAAGGACCTCCCCACATCTCCGCCTAAGGAGTCAAACAAGCCATTGACCAAGACATTAAAAAATACTGGGTTAATCACACTCTCCTGCAGGACCTGGTTTTCCACCCCTACAGATAACAACAGCACAGAACAGTTAACTAGTCACCTGCTCATCATTGTAGTCAGTAATCATCACACCTGCTCCCTCAGTCAATTTCTGCCCAGCTCAGTCCTCCACTCATTGTCGGTTCCTTGTGTGTGTTTTCATCCTTGTGTTTATGCACTTTCCTGTTCCTGTTCCTGTACCCCGACTTTGGAATGAACTTCTTTCATCAAAACTTCCTTTATTTTTATGTGTTATTGGCAGTCTGGTCACCTTTAAAAAGCAGCTGACAACCCTTATATTTAAAGTTGCTTTTACTTAAATCTATTGTGTTTCTCTTTTCTTTTCATCTGTACAATCACTTTTCAGTTATCTTTCATTTGTTTTATGATATATGACCATTTAATAATTGTATGACCTTACCCTTTAATTTAAAACTGTTTCTAAATATTGTAGCGGTCTGCGCCGCCCTCTAGCGGGGTGTGTGTAAAGCAGCAAAGAAGAGTCGATAAGTAGCAGACATAGAACACTTTTAATAGTTGGATGGCTCCCCTTTTCATCCCCCCACACATACATTTAACTCACGGTGCCAACAGGCACCGGATAAGAAGAACACAGCGTGAACACCGAACTGGAACAAACAACACTGACATAACCCTGAACAATATAACCCCCAAAACACCACAAGCGGAATAAACAAACCCAATTTACCCTCCCCCCAGAGTGCAATGCGACCTTGCCGGCCTATCAGTGGCAGGGCCACCACAATATATAATGTTTTATGATTTTAATTATTTTTCATCTTTATTTTATGACATTTTGTGATACATTAGGACTTTTTAAAAATAAGTCTATGCTAGCATTGTTAGCACTGGCCCCTTAGTAAAGAGCTAGCATGTAGCAGAAGCTTGGTGACTTACCTTCATAGTTATGCAATTTAAAACTTTTGTCTTTATTGGATTAAGGCCTCTTTGATGTGGCCTAGATAATCCCATCTACCTTGATGATTGTTTTTCTGGGCAGGTCCTGCAGCGATATCGTACAAATGCCATGGAGAACACCAATGTTACTGAGACCTGGAAATAATTCAGCTGGGTCAAACATCAAGAAGTGTCAAACCAGGGGTCCATGGCATAGACACTAGTGGAGCAGATGGTAAACGTGGCTGGCGAGAGGACGATCTGGTATTATGAAGGAGAGAAGCATTTACCGTTCATTAATGAAACACAAACCGATTAAACTAAATTAATAAACAAACAGGAACATTCCATTAAAAAAATATATATATACATTTGCCGATTAACCCTCTGGAGGCAGGCGTTGCAGATTTGCAACAGTTAAAACCTACCTACCCG